AGATATCAAAGGGGCTGACTTACTGTTTCAAAAACAGGTTTTCACGAGATTATTCTCTACAAATACAGTGGTGCCTCGCTTAACGAGCGCACCGTATAATGATGAAATCGCATAGCGATCCATTTTTTCGGATCGCTAATGCGATCGCTCGACGTTTTTTTAATGGGGCAAAATTCGCTTTGCGAAGACCGGTAAGCGTTTCGCTTACCGATCATCGCAAAACGAACCCCGACGATCAGCTGTTCGGCGGCCAAAATGGCCGCCGGAAGCCTGGAAATGGCCCAAAATGGCCGCGCGCAGCATTTTCGCGCCCTCGTTAAGCGAGGCGAGGGCGCGAAAATGGCTGCCGGCCATCCTGAAGCATCGCTGAACGGTGAGTATTTGGCCCATTTGGAACACATTAAACGATGTTTAATGCGTTCCAATGGAAATCCCTGCCCCGTTCAGCGATGCTTCAGCATAGCGAAGGTTAATCCGGAATGGATTAACCTCGCTATGCGAGGCACCACTGTATAACCAAGCCTGCAACCCTGTACATGGTTACTGGGCAGTAAATCACATGACATGGAACGGGGCTTACCTCCAAACTGTCCAGGGCGAGTCTATGCAGTTCTTCTCTCAGCAGGATTCAGCTTTACTCAGGCTGCTCTGATTTTACTTGTTTTAGTGCCTTTAAAACTAATCTGTTTTTTTAAAATCACACAATCAAAAAGAGAAAACATTCACACTACCTGTGAAACTGCTACTTGGCTGCAGTTTTTGTTATGTCAGTGGGCAAGCAGGATGTGCTTCTGAGCAGTTTTCATCTGCTCAGAACCAACAAAATCAAACAACCAACAAAATCACAAAACAAACAAACATGCTGATCAGGAGTTCTTCCCTTCTCCCCAACGTCCTTTAACAAATCTGCAGGACAGTAGCTCTCCCACCAAGACTGTATGGACTCTCCAAAATCCACAAGGACTCAGTCCCACTCAGGCCCATTGTAAGTGCCATTGTGTCAGAGTATTGAAAATTTACAGGCCTGAACAGAACAGAACATAGCAAAAGTAATAATGAGCTGCCATGTCATACAGGTGTGTAATTTGCTGAGTCACAGTGACTCTGGAGAGGTGGTGCCTTGGATGATGCAACATGAGTACAACATTGCATGATCCTGCTGTGATTGGATAAGAGCAGAGGATCAACTGTATATATACAGTGGTGCCTCGCTTAACGATGTTAATTGGTTAAAAAAACATTGCTATGGGAAAACATCACTAAGCGAAACACCATTTCCCATAGGAATGCATTGAAAACCGGTTAATCCGTTCCAATGGGAACAGATTGCCGTCCTTAAGCGAAAATCCCCATAGGAAACATCGCTAAGCGAAACAATGTATCCTCCATTGGAATGCATTGAAGCCTATTCAATGCATTTCAATGGTTTTGCGATGTCCGTTTTTGCACTTTTAAGTGTGTCTTAAAAGGTTCAAAATGGTTTTAAATGCTTGGAATCATTAGTGCACCTTCTAAAACATGTGCAAACTTAATTTGGCTTTGTTCTGAGTCTTCGTTAATTTTTGGCGAATTTTTTTCTCCCCCATTGGAAAGCATTGAACCCAATTTTGACAGCTGTCAAAATCGGGTTCAGTGCATTTCAGTGGGGGGAAAAATTCACCAAAAATTAACGAAGAGTCAGAACATAGCCAAATTACGTTTGCACACGTTTTCGAAGGTGCACTAACGATTCCAAGCATTTAAAATCATTTTTGAACCTTTTAAGACACTTTAAAAATAGCAAAAATGGAACATCGCTAAGCGAAACAGGGGACCTAAAACTGTCATCGCTAAGCGAGGCAAGGTCCCGAACATCACTATACGAATTTTCCCCATAGGGAACATCGTTAAATGGAGCGCAAAATCGCTCCAGAAACCTCATCGCTAAGCAAATACATCGTTAAACGAGGCAATCGCTAAGCGAGGCACCACTGTACTTGTATATATACTGTAAATACATGTGTCGTGCTGGAGGATGCTGAACGTGTCTGAGTGATTATTTTGCCTTCTGGACCTGAAAAAATCTTAAATCTGCTGGATTTTCATGGGTTTGCGGTAACACATCGGCCCCCCCAACGTATGAATTAGCCAAATACCTAGTGACCCTCCTACAGACCCACATTGGACAAACCTCATCCTATATCAAAGACTCAGTGCATTTCATAAGCAAGATCAGCACCCTAAAACTCAACCCTGGAGACAGACTGATCAGCTTTGACGTAGCATCCCTATTTATAAAGGACACTCAGACACTCATCCAGCAAATCTTTCCAGAAGACATCAAGGCCCTTTTCCAACACTGCCTAACGACCAGCCATTTTCAGTGGGATAATGAATTCTATGAACAGACAGATGGAGTGGCCATGGGGAGCCCCCTCAGCCCGGTGATAGCAAACTTCAACATGGAGCATTTCAAAAAACAGGCCCTGGCTTTGGCACCCTTCACACCCACAATCTGCTTCCGATATGTGGATGACACATTCGCAATTTGGAACCACAGTGAAGAAAAATTGGAAGAATTTCTAAACCACCTCAACAGCATCCACCCAAATATACAATTCACTATGGAAAAAGAAACAGAGGGCCAACTCCCATTCTTAGATCTCATGGTCATACACAAAACTGACCTCCTATTGGGACACAAGGTCTACAGAAAACCCACGCACACAGACGGGTACCTACACAAAAACTCCAACCACCACCCACAGCAAAAAAGAGCCATAATCAAAATACTGGTAGACCGTGCAAATCGGAACTGTGAAGCTCAATTTCTCAGCACCGAACTCAACCATCTGATTTGGGCCCTGCAGGCAAATGGCTACTCCAAAAATGAAATCACAAGAGCCATCAAACAAAGGCTCAGGTTGCGTTCTCTCTTTGCTGCCCCCAGTGGATTATTTCAATCCACAATATAAATGACATATGTCTGAACACTTGTCATGTGAACAAAACAGAACTTATTTATTGAAGTGAAGCAGAATGAATAATAACACAAGTCTTTAAAGTATTCAGTGTACACAAGTATTTCATCATCAGTTCCCTCAGTACATAGTTTTCTCAGCTTACAATCTCATTACCACCCTCTCTACCTATCTCCCTAACCAGTCCTATCTGACTCCTCTTTCTCCAGCCAAGCCTCGTGTAGCTGCAGACTCCAGCCCTCTCATAGGTTCATGTAAATCAGCTCATGACAATGAGTGACATGAGTGACATGGGTGGTCGCCACAGACAACCTTTCATATATTTGAAAATTGCTATCATATCACCCCTCAGTCTTTTTTTTCCTCAAGGCTAAATGTTCCCACTTCTTTCAGCCTTTCCTCATAAGGTTTGGTTTCCAGCCCCCTGATCATTCTTGTCACCCTCCTCTGAACTTGTTCCAATTTGTTTGCATCCTTCTTGAAGTGCGGTGTCCAGAACTGGACACAATACTCAAGGTGAGGCCTAACCAGTACTGAATAGAGGGGGACTAGCACCTCATGGGATTTGGAAACTAGACTTCTATTAATGCAGCCTAAAATAACATTTGCCTTTTTTTGTAGCCACATCAGAATGTTGGCTCATATTTAGATTGTGATCTATAACAATTCCAAGTTCTATGGTAGATCTTGGAGGAGGATGAATGTAAGAGGAGAATAAATGTAAGATTCTATAGTAGAGCATCACAGTTGCCCAGTTGCAGATAGAGTGAACAAATGTCCCTAATTTTATAAGTAATTAAGAAAAAAGGTGGCCAGAATCTATCTTTTTCATTGCTTTAATCTTCAGAATAGACCATTTTCATGTCTTTTAGAGTCAGGGTGCTCCAAGATGCCATTCTCTACCAGCTGCTCCTTGGGTGCATTGATTTACTAAGCAATGCAAAACCAAGCCTCTGATCAGTTTGAAGAATCCCTGCTCCAAGACAAACAAATTGGAGAAATGAAATGATTTTCATTTGTTGCCATGTTTCCATTAGGTTCTCAAAGAAATGAATTAGAAACAAATTAGGACAGATTTGTTCTGTTTTCACTCAATTTAAAAATGAAAGCAACAGTCCCTGGTTACCAGAGGCCTGTGTTTATGTTACCTGCAGGAGAGGAGCACAGGAAAAAAGACAACAACCTTAAAGTAACAGAATCCTTCCTCTTGTGCAGCTGGGCAGATTGCTATATTCAAAGATCCAACTATACATTAGAGATAACTTGTCATTAGAAGAGAGAATTCCTTTAGGGCTGACTATGTGTGATGGTCACAGCAACAGCTTTTCTCACTTCCTGTAATTTGAAAATTAGCAAATGCTCAGAGTTTGGAAATATTGCCGAAACCCTGTTGCCATAAATTATGCTGTATAAGGCTCATAATATCAGCAGCGGAGGTGATTTTTCAGAAATTAAATGTTTCTGACTTTTCTCCTGGAAGTCCTAAGGCTCTGGTGTAATCCCTTTCATGATCAGGAAGCAGTGGGGGCCATGGGACAGAAGAGGGGCGTCTTTAATTACTGAAAATTGCCACTGTCAGGCTGTTCTACCTGAGGGGATGGGCTGTTAATCTCCAGCTCTGCCTTTTGTTCTTCCAAAATCAGCCAAGGCATGTTTTGGGTCTTTCTAAGGGGTGTTTTAAATGAAGTCTCTGGAGCATCACTCAATGGCCTATGGTAATTACTTGAACTCCAGGCTCTTTCTGTTATAAAGTTAAAATGCCAAGTCATTTCCAATAAGAAAATCTGAATTATTGTCTTCATGAAGCAATGCATAAATCTGACCCGTCCAGCCCCTATAACTGACAGCTACTAGGGCGAGAGGGGCATAAACCAGTCCTGTCCCAGAGGGGTGATAAGTGTGGATGGGGAACCTGGGGTTAGGCACAATTTGGTCAGGGTGAACCACATCTTTATTCAAAGAGGAAAGGTCAGCACCTGTATCTCTTAACGCCCTTATATCCAAGAACCCTTGGGGGGGGTTGTAATTTTATTGACTCACCAAATTCTTTTGCAGCCCAATCAGCTCACTCTCTGGAAATTAAACACTCCAGGCCCTCAATTCTGAAATTTAAGTTCCACTTGGTTGGCTGAGTAGCCTCATGAACCCCCTTCCAGACAGAAGCTCCAAACATGCCCGGTTGGAAAGGATTTTAATTGCTGCATTGAGTAGTTGAAATTCCTTTGTCCTCACTAGTTTGCTCCTGTGCTTGCGAAGAATCAACTCCTCGTTGTCCGGGTGTTGGCAATGTTGCCAGTGGGTGGAAGAATTCTTCTGTAGCTTCCTCTTGTTGAGTCACCTTGAAGTCTGGCTTTCCTTCCTCCGCTTCTGGGTAACCGATGAATTTCAGCTTAGGCGTCTGCCGTGTGCATGCAGGGACTGGCGGTTTGGTTGGCCCCTTGGGTGGCTCGCTGGGTTGAGAAACGGCTTTAGGGCAGTCTCGTCGCAGATGTTCTCTGCCATACAAGTAACATTTCAGAGGGGAGCCTGAAGTGGAAGGCTTTTCGAGATCACTTGGATAGGCCCGCTTAACCACTTGGGGAAGCGACTTGACTGGCTTTTTAAACTCCCCTGACTTTTTGGTTATCTCTGGTGCGTGTACAGGTTTGGCTTTTTGTTTGTCATCTCTGCGAAAAGCCCAAAGTTCATCCACAGCTAAAGTCAGCTATTGAAGATTAGGCAAATGTTTTCCAAGTAAGGTAACTCAGCTCAGGTGGCACCAGAGTCAGAAACTGCTCACACAAAACTAACTGTGTAATTTGTTCTGTCATCTGTGCCCCTGAAGCTTGCATCCATTGAGAGCAATGACTCTCCAACCTATCATCCACAGCAGAAAAAACTTCCTTTGTACTATTTACTTATGCTCCTAAACTGCTGATGCAGACTCTCCAACATGAGCCCAAAGCGACGATGAACCAGGACTTTAAATTCCACCCAAGTGGGTTCATCTTCAGTTCTCCTTGCAAGAATTTCAGCTAATTGTCCATAAACCTAAGAGCATAGCAGTTTAACAAAGAACCTCTCTGGAGTGCCTATGTCCTTACAGACTAACTCAAAGTTTATTAAAAAGTCCAGGACACCCTCCCCATCTGTTAATAAAGGTAAATGCTTCCTGTCATATCTGGCAAGTGAATCCTTTTGCCGCTGCTTCTCTGCAACCTCTCGCTCCACCTGCTCTCTCAGGAAAACTGTGTCCACCTTACTTTGTCTCTTCCTCCAGGTTTGGGTGACGATTAGCTCCCTCTGAGAAGACAGGAAATCAGCCATTATCAGAGTTAACCGGTCCGATTGGGTCATGGCACAGCATCTTGGTGGTGGTGCCTTGCCGGTTGTAGCTCCTGCAGTGGCACCATCATCCAAGCCCACACCCATCTCATCCTGTAGGCTAGGCATGTTAGGAATTCTGCTGGAATCCTTTCTCCTCCTCTTCCTCCCTGGCTGGCACATCCTAAGCCCATGTATTCTGATCATGTGCCGCCTTTCTCAGTCAGTCATCTGGAATGGCTGAAACTCGTTAAATGTGAATATCGCTGTAATCTTAGGTCTGGCACCTCCAGCCACCAAGGAATCCGTTAGGGCAACCTGCCCCATTTCTTTTGCCAAAAGTAAATCCATTCCTTCAGGCAATTCTAGCCTGGGCATGGGCAAAGTTTTTCTAAAAACCATTCTGCCTTAGCAAATAATGACTTAGGGAAAAGCTGCTTTATTCTACGGCCTTTTGAACATGTAAAACAAAACTGTCCCTTTAGGAAAGTCTCTTTACCGGCTCGGGCTGCTGTATCCTGCAGCTGCACACCATGTCAGGAACCAAATCTCCCTAAGGAGCATGGATCCTTCGATCAGGGAATTCCTCAGCCACAAATCTACCACCTTTATGCTGGGGCAAGCCCTCAACCTCCAGCAGTGTGTAGCCTTTATGCCTAGAATAAGCCTGACCTTAAAAGAATACTTTTACTCTGTACTTTGGAAGTACAGACACATGGGCTTTGTAGTTCCTAAGAACTCACAACAGCTCAGTTAATTAGGACTTCTCTGGTAGTTAGTCAATGGCCATTACCACTCCTCTGGATTTAGCCAAACCTTGCTGACCCAAGAGACAATCCTTGTTGAAGATTTTTATAATTAATTTTTATTAAGAAAATATATAGTTTCACAGAAACAGTTTGTTTTTGCTCAAGCATAGCATAAAGAAAATGTTCAAAAGAATCCACAGTTAAATTCAACAACTAATTCCCATTAAAAATAACAAACACTAAACTGGGCTAAGGTGGGCTAACTCCACCTCCTTCTTTCCTTTACTTACATTATCTCTTCTTCAAGCTACATACTCAAATCATCAATCCATCATCATGGATTTGGAGCAAGAATCTCACGAGAAGAATCTTGCAAGACTCTCTCCCACATAACCCATCATTCATTTTCTACATTCTCTGGATCTCCTCCTTCTTGACCATAAACCAATCAACTCAAAGAGGCGTAACTGTCCATTCCATCCAACAATTCTCATGAAGATGCAGGTGGTTTATCTCCATTCCAATTAAGAAAGAATTTGCTATCTGCGCCTCCCTGTCCTTGTATGCTTATCAGGATTCATGCTGTACCAGGCTGGCTGTAAATTAAGAAAAACAACCTCTTTGCCTTTCTCACATTTCCATGCCTTCCTTTCATTTTTAAAGCCTAACAGACTTAATTTTCTCTCTTTCTCATTGACTACAATTCCTATTTTCCTTTAATCTCTGACTACAAGTCCCAGTCTCCTTCAATCTCATGACAGCCACCACCAGGATGACTTTACCAGCAGCTGTGATTTTCATGCACAATTTTTGCAGCAAATTGTCATTTTCCTTTCTTTTTTCATCTGCAGCACTTCGACTTTTTCTTTTTTTCAAGTTCCAGATGGTACACTTGGCAAATGTGACCCACCAGGCAGCAATCAGGTATTCAGCCTGCAGGAGCAGTCAAGCTACTAACTAGGGATATTTCTTTCCCATTAAACAAACTTTTTTCCTAGTTCTCCCAGCTGCTGGCCTTTATTTGCTTTGGCTGGGCACATTTAAAGACTGCCATCCAAGAGGCTTCTCCATTGGTGCTGGTGCTACTGTGCTATTGTTTTAAAGGCTAGCCTTTCCCATCAAGGAGCCAGTTCAGCCAGCAAGCATCCTCTTTCTCAAGGGTATGTGTGTTTGGTCTTGTGCCTGGGGAACTCTGAAGTGGATCTGAAGCAATTGATAAAGAAGCAAGTGAGAAGCAATTCCCCCTCCTCACACTGAGCACCAGCCTTAGGCTTCAGGCTTTCCAGGGCAAGCTTGGTTGATCATTTCCAATCTTTGTGAGGGGTTGAGGCCTCTATAAAGGCTAAAGAATTCCAAAACATTTCACTGAAGAAGCAAGCTATGTCAGCATTGTGCTTTGTTTTACTCTGGTCTGGAATGGAGAAGGACAGCAACTGGGCAAGGAGCACATTGCAGGGCTTCTGGTGAGATAGGGACAGGAAGGAATAAAACATGTATTTTACTTGTGCAGTGAAGGGCAAGCAAGAGTAGATGAAGCTGAGTTTCACTCCTCCATACCATGTCAGACCCAATATAAATACTTTAAAACACTGGTCCCCAACCGTGGCCCTCCAGATGTTCTTGGACCACAACTCCCAGAAGCCTTCACCACCACCTCTGCTGGCTAGAATTTCTGGGAGTTGAAGTCCAAGAATATCTGGAGGCCCAAGGTTGGGGACCACTGCTTTAAAAGCCTTAGGTAACTGAGCCATTCTTGGATTGCAATTTCCAGAAGCCTTCACCACCAATTGTGCTAGCTGGGGTTTCTGGGAATTACAGTCCAATAACACCTGGGGTATCCCAAAGTTGGGAACCACTGCTTTAAAATATTCAGTTACAAATCAAGTTGAATAGGCTACAACTTGGCTGAAAGTAAATCAGGTGCAACTTGCAAGACAAATAATTTGGAATGTATCAAAGTGGATGGTATCTGCACATTCAATTCTAAAAAGTAATGGAAAAGTAACAATCAACTCAAAAAGTAACATAAGTTTCTCTTTCAAAATCACAGGAAATATCAGGAATGTGTTACTTTTATATGAATTGTTCTTAAAAAGCAACTTCCCAAGTATCTTGTTCCATGCTGGGCAAACTGGCCACAGCTCCCAGCCCGAAACGTCCCAAACCATGGAAAAGGCAAGGGAGCAAAAGCAAGCACTGACATACTCACCAGAGCAGAAAATCAGGGCAGGGAGATAAAAAGCCATGTGATGAGATGGGTTTTTGAATTAAAATCTTGTAAGGAATATGGGGTTTGTAATTAAGAAATGAGCAAGAGAGGTTCCATCTTGTTTCTTTGTATAAAGTATCTATGCTATGCGGACAGGTTGTTTTCTAGGCGAGCAGAGAGAATGTTATTCTGATAGCCTGAGAAAAGGACTCGGTGTGATTAGATGGGAATTGTTGTGACTCTTTGTTAAACCACAGTAACCCAAATAACATCTGGTGTGTGTATGGGAAAGAAGTCATGTGGTGCAACAGGACTGTTTGCCTAGTAACGAACTCTGATTGGATGACATCGTGGGAAGGTGCGATAAGCCCTTGCCAGTTACTCTTGAAAAAGGAACTTTTTGCCTATGGACATTGTCATTCAAGACCGACTCTTCATTCATTCGTGACACACCCTGAAGTCTATCGGGACCAACCTTTACATGGACTGATCTTTGTACTATACTGGATTACCCTTGGACCTATGGGCTTTTTCCTAAGGACTATGGATTATTTCTCTATGAACTCTTATTTTTGGAATACTCCATATGGACTATGCTCTTGTAATTTTGTAAGGTCAATGGTACATTTACTGGATTTTTCTTTCCTAAGGACAATGGGACTTTTACTGAATTTGTCTTTTTAGTACAGGATTTTTGTTCTACAGAATCACTGAGGACTATAGCCTTTTTATAACCTACTTGGATTATTTTGTTTTTACTAATGAATTACTGGACCGGAACTGTTGTTATTCTTTTTAATGGCTTTTTGTATTTTTGTAAGGTTTTTGAACACTTTTCTATTTTTCATGTTTTCTTTGCCTCACTACAGAGTTGTAAATAACTAACACAATGCTTATTTACTTGCCTTGACTTACTTTGGTTTTGATACCTAGTAACATGCTTATTTTTTTTAAAAAATAAAATAATGATGATTGGTTTCCTGAACAGTACACTTGTCTTAGGGTCATCTGAGAGTGCTGCCTCGGCTTAGCATACTTAAGGAGTCCTGCCAGTGGTGCAAGTTAAGTCTAAGGACTACAAAGCCCACTTGATCTTTTCACAGTAATATCTGAGAGTACAAGGGTGTTCTTATGTGGGCAGACCTGTAAGATGGAGTGTTGTAGCATGGCTAGCTGAGCTTGGACTCACTCAGCCCATTTTAGCGTGTGCAAACTCCTGATTACTCTCTGTCCAGGCTTAAGCGGACGTTTTCGAACTCTGTGTTTGCTTACAAGCCACAGTCCAAAATCATTCCAACAAGCAAAGTCAAATTAATTTCCATCACAATCCACAAGGGAGGAT